TGTGTAAAATTTCATAGTCATTACAGATTAGTTTAGGAGTTATTTCTCTTTGAATTAAAGTAGGATAGTGGCAATAATGCAATTGTTGTTTTTCTTAGTTCTATTAGGATTGGCCACCCCTAAAGTGTCTATTTATATGTTCTAAGTGCAAAAGTGTGGATGTTTATTTGAGATCTTACAACTTATGTTAACTGGTCAATGGTGAGTGGATTCTTATGCCCTAGAATGCTACTAGGCCCCAAGTTAAGTGACTCTGAATCTCTCTCTCTCTCTCTCTCTCTCTCTCTCTCTCTCAAAGTTTCCAAGCATCAACGACAGACATCAACAGATCACACCCTTTTTTTTGGTAATTAACAGATCACACGTTGTACATTAAATATTTCATTCAACATCCCCAAGGAACTGAAATTAATTTAGGTACATTTTTTATTTTACATCAAAACACAATTTTCCTATTTTAGCTGCTTTGTCCTTTTGTACCAAACCATATTGCTCGCATATTTCAACACACCCTATGAATCTCCATCACCTCCATCCTACCTAATTTCATCCCAAAAGTCCATCATCTCTGCAACGTTTCATAAAAAAAAATCTTAGCTCTTCCATTTAGTCCTTAATATTCCTTAATTCTATTTCATCCAATCAATACCTTCCTAGACTCACCATTGGATCATAGTCATCATATGTCGTATTCTCACTAAGATCAAGTATTAATCTCACTACATTTTCATCAAATAGATCAATATAGAAAAGCACAGCCAAGTTAATAACTAACTGAATTTGCTTAGTTTAAATACACATTTTGATAATCCAGGCTTGGACCACTTGGTACAGGCCAACAATGTAGCATCAATTCCTAAATATTTCAAACCTATGATGTCATCAACAACAGCGTAAAACAATTTTTACCCGGTGAATATCAACAGGTCCGCCATTTTTAGTAGCCACCATTGGAAGCCCATGTGCTGCTGCCTATATAAAACCAAGAAATTAAGAGCAAGAGTTTTGTTTTAGCAARAGGATGATAGTATGGGGAAATATAGTTTATGATAGAATCAAACCTCAATTAAGGTAAGGCCAAAAGGCTCAACCAAAGCTGGATTTATGAAGACCCCCTGCCATGTTTCCAAGCACTTTGATGATAAGCATCGGTTGAAATTAGATAACTGTAGTTAGCAGCAACATGGATATTAGCAAACCTTTGTTTTGGCTGCTAGGYGGTAGATTTCTGGAACATCAGACTGCTTGTGATGCTTTGGGTAGGCAACAATCCCATAGAGGTCATACTTATCAATCAGCTTCAATACTGTTGTTAGCACATTAGCATTACCTGAGGACATTTCATCTATATCATCCCTATTCCCCATTATGAGTGTCTGCACAAGCATATTACCTCTATGTCAGTTTTTCTCTTAGAGAACATCTGAGTAATTGAGGTTGTTGCTTACAAGATTAGCAAGGTCTCTTAATGGACGACATTCCCCAAAGGCTTTCAAAAGGGTGGTGATGTTCTTCTTTGGATCAGGTCTTGATAATGCCAGGATCATTGGCTTATGGGGATTTGTGAAGAAGCGCATTACCTGTGGAGATTTTTCTTCTCTGTCAAGATAAAAATAAGATAGCAAAATAGGATAGAAAAGARATGTTGAATAGTTGCAGAAATGTCTTACTTCAGACCATATAGGTGGAACTGCCCTTGGTGAAGACCCATCAGCACCAAAAAGGGCTGCAAGTTCCCCATCAGCTTCAGGAGTGTCCTCTTGAACAACAACATTGCTGAAGTCCATGCCAGGAGGAATAACCTGAAGATATTCTTTGTTTGTCATTAGTGATTAAACTTCCTGCTTGCATTAGTGCATATTATATGATGGAATTAAATAGCACATGTAGGTGTCTTCAGTCCTAATTTTTTAGGGTCGTCCTTAGTTATACAAACACAGAAAAGAACAATTCAGAAGTTTCAAATATGGCAATTACCACCATCCTTGGCATGTGACGGCCATGACAACTGACCCCACGTCTTGTACGGGCTCGCAGTACCTTCTCCAGCTTGACATCAAAACCATCATACAAGCCCCACTGCTCTTCAATCTCTTGCTTGGTACTTGTGATGACAAGCTCAGCAGCATCAAGGGMCAGCTCTTCTGCTTCTATCCTCCGCATTATCTTGTATGTTGAATTGATGTCCTCCTTTGATTGTCGCCCCTGCTTAAGAAGCTGCTCTAACTTGTTTCTCCCAAGAGAGTGTCCTGTAAGAACCATGGGTACATTCAAAGCCCCAGACAGAAGTGCAGCACTATCTCCTGCATCTGCATAGTGTCCATGAATCACATAGGGCCAAATAGGCTGGCCCCCACCTATCTGTTCTCCCAGCACCTTAGACATGTTAAGAATGTGTGACAGAGCTCCATCTACGAATTCTTGAATATGTGGCCATAATAACTCTTTCCGGAGGTATTTATCCCGTGAACCAAATGGTATCCTTATAATATAAGCACCACTGCTCTCTCCTACATCATTTTCTTCTTCATCTTCAGGGCCGGGGGTTAACATCTCTGTGGGTTCTCCATAACTCCAATCCACGTCTGGTGAGGATACTTGGCGAGTGAAAAGGTCCACCCTATACACCCCAGGCATCGTAGCTAGTGCACGGGCAAGCTCCACCACATATTTGACCTGAAATTTTTCAGCTGTCAGATGTGTTAATATAAAGTATAAACCTTTATCTGACAATTCTATAATTTACAATAAGTTTATCATATATGTATTGCAAGAAATGCCAGAATCTATTCACAGAAGGTTATCTTAGTTACCTGGCCACCAGTATCAGAATCTCGACCAAGCTCCATGTTGTCTCCCCGGACCAAACCATGCAAGCTGGCCAAGGAGATGAGTCACAATTGCAATTCTAAATTTAAACTTAAATCAGTTCATAAGCAGAACTGTAGACATGTGAATTTTTAAGCCAAATAAAATGGGCTTAATTTACAATGACAGCCTATAAATTAATATGGGCYCCCATGGGCCCAAGGCCCAAGTCTATGTAAATATGTCTTGATGGCCTACGGATCCAAGTGAATTAAGTCCAATCTGGCCCATCTCCTATTGTAATAGGGTGGTCCCATTGGCAAGACCATATAACTCCTACATAATGGTGCATGTATAGGAGTTAAGGCTAACCCAACACCCCACTCACATGGATTGGTTAGCTAAGTGGGATGAGGTGGCAGCCTTAATCCTTGGCTATAAATAACCTTGCCTAGGAGGAAAGGGGGTCCATTTTCTTCCTTTTGAGAGAATCACACTACAAGAAGCTCTCAGACACCAACACTGAAAATTGCAAGCAACCAAAAGCTCCTGCAACCTCTAGCAACTACAAGATCCAGAGAGAAGAAAGAAGGGAAAAGCTTCTTTGTTCTCTACAACACTTGGATTCAAGCTCTTCAAAGAAGATCAAGCCACCACAAAAGGGCCCTTCTTAGAGAAGCATCCTTCACAGCCGATTAAGCGCAAAGCCCGGAGTGAAGAAATCTACACCAAATCTCTCAAAGCACCAAAATCAAGGAAATCTACAGCAACACTTCAAGAAGTACGAGAAACACGCCAACAGCCCTCATCTCACCAAATTCGACCGTTAATCAGAGGTTGCTCATGTCATTGAGCAAAAATCAAAGAGAGTTCATTCCCTTGTTTGTTTTCTTTATTACAAATTTATTTTGTAGTTTGTCTCCATATTTTGTGCTAATTGAAATATATGAAATTTGTGTCGACAAGAACCTAGCATCTCAGAGTGATAGTGTTTGGATTTTCCAGACTTCGTCATAGAATAGCTAATGGAACTATCAAATTCAAAATGTATAGGTGTATTAAAAGGAGAGAGAGAGAGAGAGCTTTATTTATCATGCAACTTTTCTGTTTGTAGTCCATACTTTCATGTATGAAAAGTTGAAAACTGAAAGAATCTTGACAGCTTGAGTAATCACAGTTGGCCAATTCAATTTGTACCTGATAAGAACAATGTAGAGTTTCTTCCCCTTGTTATCATCAGACCACACTTCGAGGTTTGAAAAATTCCTCTGGTACTTCTTCATTGGGGCCTCACTCTGAATCATCTCCCCCACAGTGTCCCCCTTTTCTCCCTCAGAAAGGTCTTCAGACAGGTCTTCAGTGGCATCCATGCGTCCCTGCTCCCGCTCCCACCTCCTGTTTGTCAAGCGTTGGAACTCTTCCCATTCCAACTACTCATTCAATCAATAGATATGTATTCTCAGGCATGGAATTAATTCATTGAATTGATAAAATTATTGTACAAATTGCATTTATATTATTCTTTTCAGAATTATCATCATCACTATCAATTAACTATTTGTCAATTGCTGTGTTGAATACTGTTCATTTCCTTAGTTTCGGTGGTAGCCAGAGAACTTCTGAAGAAAATTAWTCCTGTGAAGAACCCACTTAAAATTCAAAGTATAACATGCAYAAAGCAATCACACAAAGTGACAAACAATGTCCACAGTTCATATTTGCAAGAATAAAAAGATAACCATATTTTCCCACTAACTGCAATTCTTCATCCAGACTTCTATGAATAGAAACCATTCACTTAAAATTTTCGGCCAAGACTCCACCATATTCACTTTTGCTTTAATAAATTCTTGGCTCATACTATACAACATATCTACAAAAAAATGAATCATTTAATAAAAGAAAATACATTTTTGAATCTATCCATTTGAAAATTCCATTTCTTACATTAGCAACTGAGACTTTCTGGGTTAATATAGTAGAATTTCCAATATAACTAAAATGCAAACAAAATTTTGAAATATTTTTAAGAATTCCCTACTCAGTTCTTTCTTGATGAACTATTGACAGCCATGTTTTAAAGAACTAACTTTCGGCCCTACCCATTTGAAAGTTCCATCCTATCATTAACTATTACCAATTTGCTCTTAAATTAGAACAAAACAGAGCAGTTCTGGATTAAAATAATAGAATAGAAAATGAACGATTGACAAAAGTGTCTTAAAAACCATTTTTATTCTACCCATTTAAAAAAAAATTCCATTTCTTCCATCAAACTATCACCATCTTCCGCCTTATTCCATAAAAAAAGCAGAGAATTTATCTGTTAAAATATTGAGTTTCCAATACAAATATTCATACTAGCAAGAACTTGGCCAAACAATTCATCACTATAAAACTCTATTTTAAAACGCATATGATTTCTTCACTCTTCTTTTGGAGAGAGCCAAGAAGACTTCTACAAACAAAACAATAGCAACCCAAGTCCCTGAACAACGAAGAAACTCATTGAAAACCACTAAAAAACACTGAAGAAGCTCACAACTTCATATACAGAGAGATCAAGAGACAGATAATGGAGAGCTGGGTACCTGCTTCTTCTTGCGGGCGAGATGCCAAATGCGCCAACACATGTTCTCAAGCCGAGAGCTGCGCTCTCGTGCGTTGCGGGTGGCGACCACCTTGATCCAGGTTCGATGGAGRTCGGTCTCATCAACACCTGTAACCACTTCTTCCACAAAGTACTTTGTGGGGTTGAAGTGCCCCCCCTCCCGTAGGTTCACCGAGGATGGCTTCTGCTCCTCTATTGATGCTGCTCCACTATCGAGAATTGCCTCCAAGTAGCCATTGATCCATTCGTTCACCGCCATTTCTTAGGCCCGAAAAAAAAAAAATCAAAAACTGTATTCAAAGAAGCTCTGTTAAACTGTTATAGCAGACAACGCCCGTTCTTGATTAGAAAACACAGAGCAGCAGAGAGACTGGTAGAGAAAGAAACTGAAATTCAATATGGGTTTTTGTTTATCATTGAGACTGGATGCTGAAATGCTCACATTTATTTAACAGAGAGAGAGAGAGAGAGAAAGAGATTGGATTCAAAAATGTTCACTCTCAATAAAGAGAGATTTTCTGTAAATTYCTCTCTTTGGTTTAAGGTGGTAACAGAGACTGAGAGCGGGAGGAAGGAGAGAGCGGTTGAAGAGTTTGGGCTTGGGAGGGAGAAGTTAAGCAGAGCCTGCAGAGGATGAGCGACGTGGGGTGAAGGTGGGGGTCCTTTTCCCACGAGCCAGAGGCTCTTTCCTTCAGGAGGGTCATTTTCACACGTGTGGTAGCTCATGTTTTTTCTCTATTTCCGAGGTTGCACAGTTCTCCATGCGACCTCGGCTCATTTACACGTAACTTTGATAACTTTCTCTGAAAATCTAGGGAGAAAAATGCATGGACATTCTTATTTATTCCCTCCACCATCTGGGTCCTAGCCATGCATCAATAATTTGGAAGGTCTCGACATCCAAGGGCTGTGATTTTTCAGGGTCAGACATTTCTCAAGCATCTGACCATTCACAGAATTGGAGATGACAACTGACAGACTCCCAAAGGACTTAGGCTTGGCTTTTTAGTGGTAATAATAATAAGGGATAAAGCTCACTACCCAGCTCAAGAGGTATTAAATCTCATTAAGTAAGCTCTTTATTATGATAATTAATTAATGAGATGAGAATTGGCTAATTGCATCAAGAAGCTTATTAATTTGACGATTCATGTGATGGGCTTATTAAAATTGGGCCAATTCAAATAGTGCAGCCTATCAAATGCCTAGGCCCACCCATTGGCCCACAAGAAGCCCATCTCATTCTTAAGTGAAAAGTCTAACTAGAAACCTAGTCAATCATTTTAATCACTGCTCATGTTGCACTTGTGTCTTAATAATTGTAGCTTGTACTTTGGTCTCATTGACAATCTTTCTTGCTGGCCATACATCCATGATAACAGAGAAATGGCACCAAAATTTTCAAATTTTAAAACAATAAGTCTCTCTCTTTCTCTCTCTAAAATTTTGATTTTTGTGTATGTGGTGGCAAGCCCATCATCCTACTTTGTGGTAAGCACTATCAACCAAGCTTTATCAATTGTCTTCTTTACCCTAAATAGGTGAAACCCTTTAACCCACATGTATCTTTCTGGGCTAGAATTCGGTTGGATGTTGTGSAGTGATGAATGATGCTTGAGGGACAGATGGGTCTGGGTTTCAGACAAAATAGAGGATGCACATTTAGACAAAACCAACATTGGTGGATTTTGGCTTGTATCTCTCACCAAGTGACACGAATCAGTTTGAGATGAGAAATTAACTCTCAACSTGAATTATTTTGGGGGATCTCTTTTAAGGAATTTTTTCCCTTTCACATGGCAGTCTCTCTCATATCCTTGATGYTTCTAGTTGGTAGGTTTGTCTTTTGGGGGGAACCAAGGAATATCCCTGTTAGCATTAGCTTTCATGGTTGCTATCTCTTCTTTGGCCACTGCTTAATTAAACATGTAATGAAAAGGAAAAGAGAATTTAACTCAAAATTTAATAGTCTTCAATCAGTGAATCAGTGATCAGTAACTTGGTGGGGTCTTAGCAAGGTTCAAATTATTGATACGTATCAGCCAATATATATCGTACTGGGAGTTTTTTTATACACCCCTACAAGAGGGTGTATCGAGGTTTTGATCGGTYTAGGGGGTGGATGAACCTTAAACCAACCCCTAAAAATTTAAAAAAAAAACTACTGATACTGCCCGATATGTCAGGCGTATCGATATTTTGAACCTTAGTTCTTAGATAGAGGGACCGTTTGTGGCTGAACTAAATAACTTGTTTTTCTCTAGGTAAATTAAAGACAGCCACCCCGGATTTAGGGCTACTGACACTTGGATCCTTGAACTTTTGTTTTGTGATAACCCCATGAAGTTTTAGATTTTTGCATTTTGCACCCATTGTCAACATTCCATCAATTAACTTTATGAAATATTTTTAGGGATTTTTGGACTGCAATCCTCTCAGAAATCTAATTTGCAACCCCCTCTTAATCTATTAATAGCCCCCCTATAAACCACATCCTACCCGTGAATTTGRCATCAATCCACAGGCAGGATTCAGTCCACCCCTAGTCTATTAGTAGCTCCACCTAGGAGTGGACTGAATGGTAAAAACCCCATATTTTTAAACATTTTAAAACCCCAAGCTACCCTTATTTTGTTTTATAAAACCATTGTCCTTTTTATTCTTAGTTTTATTTTTCTAAAATCCTAATTCTTATGTTTCTCTCAACTTTGTTTTCAACAAAGTTTGTMAAGAGAGTGCCTCCAAGAATGATTGATTCATCGATGGTTTGTGCTTTAGAATAGTTGTTTTTTATCATTTTAATATTTATTGCTGTCGGTTCATAGAATCTTGAATGCACAATTTAGTAATTTTACTTTACACCGTCGTCCAGAATCAGGGGGTAAGTATTACCATAATGAACTCCCCAACGGGAGTTCATATCACCTTCAAACAATATATGTTCCAACATCCTCCCAACATGATTTGACATTAGGCATCTCATACATATCAGCGATGCCGGAACATGTTGGAAGGGTATTTATTGACATAAGATCTCTAACTCGCTCAATAGATGAAGATTAATTATCATACCTTGAATATTTTATTATTTAATTGTTTTTATCCACTAAAAACCAAAACAGTAAGCTACTCAGTTCAGCCACTTCCACCCTTATCAAATGGCCCCCATCAACCTTCTCTCAAAAAAGCAAAACAAATGGGATTGTCTAGTCTTAGTAAATCACTTTAACTTATTGTAATTAAACAACAAAAATGGTGGAAATCACCCAAAATTGTCTACTCTGGTTTGTCATAAGATTATCAGCATTGTTAAGAGGAGAATAACATTGTGACAAGCCAATTTCTTTAGGTTGAGTTTGGAAGGAGTATAAATATAAATATGTACAATACAAATACATACAAAATAGGAAAAATTTYGGATTAGTACATTGTACTTTGGGCCTAGTGCCACTTTGGTCCCCAAACTTTAAAATGCGACAATTCA